CCCCCTCCTCCCCCTCCGCCCCGCGCAGGCCCGGGCGGCACTCACAGCCCCGCGCAGGCCGCTCGAGCCGGCAGTCTCCCAGCACAAGCCGCCCAGTTCGCAGGCCAGTCCGCTCCGTCTCCGACTGTCTCCGACACCCAGTCCGCGCCCAGCTCTCGTGTCCCGTTCGCGCACGCGGTCGTGTCCCGGTCTCTTCACCACCACCACCAACACACAAACTCCCTCACCATGGCCGACGGTGGCGTCAAGAGAAACATCCCCATCAAGCACATGGGCGACTTCAGCGTCCTGGACTCCGAGTTCAGCAACATCCGCGAGCGCTTCGACAACGAGATGAAGAAGATGGAGGACGAGATGACACGCTTCCGGTCGGAGCTCATGAACCACGAGAGCAACTTCTTCAAGACTTCAACCAGGTAAGCAAGCGACGCCCGAGCGACCCCGCGAAGTCCTCCAGGATGGGGCCCCAGGCCGGCAACAACGCACCATATCCTGCTCCTCGCGAACTCGCCGTCGAGATGAGATGTCGTCACGGTGTGAAGGCCCGTCACGGTGTGAAGGCCGAACGTCGGGGCCGGGCCGGGCCGGCCGGCTTGTCGACGCCGTGGTCATTCCCGCCCCTCCACCGGCCACCTCGGGGGGTCACGCCGTCGCGGAGGTGCGAGGCCGTGCGGCGGCGTGCTCTCGAAGCAGCGCTCTCTCTGTATTTCTCTCTTTTCGAGGCGCGCGGGCCAAAGCAGTTATCTCCGTGAGCAGTTGCTCGTCGCCCCTCGCCCCCACCACACACCCACACCTTCGTCTCGATACGACGACGGTGCCGTGTAAGAGTTGTGACCGCGGCGCTCGCCGAGCCGGGGTGGCGGGGCGCGGCGACCGTATCGCCTGCCGGTCAAGAGCAACGGCGGCAGCGACGGCGACATGCCCGATGCCCGATACTCCCCCTCAACCTCTCACCCCCTAGTCCCCCAATGAGCAGCAGAGGCGGCAGCAGCAGGAGAATCGGCAAACACGACAGAAGTACCCCTGGCGCCTCGTCGTCTGAATCAATAAGGACGCATGGGACGGGGGGAGGCGCGGATAGATCGTGGATAGAATGCCCAGCAGGGGGGCCTCGAGGGGGGCGGCGGGGGCACCCGCCCGTCTGGCACCGGGCCGCTGGGGGGGTCAATGGACACGGCGAGTACGGCCCGTCACCATAGCCAATCAGTCGCCGCCGTCAACCAATCGCCGCGCGCGCGAGTTCGAATGAGACTTCTTGACCTGTCCAGCTGACCTCTCTCTCTCTGTCTCGCTTTTCGGTACGTTCCTCGATGACCGCCCACCACCGGCCCGCCCACGACACCTCTATCTATGCCTCCTGCTTGGGAACACGCGTCGTTTCCCTGCGCGGCGCCCGGCCCGGCGGCGCCCGCTGGTGCGCGGCGTCCGTCTCGGTGACGGCCAGTTCCAGTCAAAAGAATCCGATCTATATCGATACATTCGACACCGCGCTCGCCGGTCGCCCGCGCTCGGCGACATCGTCGTCGCGCCGACGTTGTCTCGA